GGTTTGGACGTCAGGGACAACCAGGTACCTTCCCACTTCCCCATGCGGTTGAAAAATGAACTGGGTTCAAACCACGCCACCAATCCAACCCACCAACCAGGTAACCGCTGTACCTTCTCTTGATTATCGATGTTGGGCAAGAGCCGATCCTACTTGGACATTGGAAGCATAGGGCGTGTCAACCGGTTCACCCACCAACTCAGGGTCTGCACTTTTTGGCTTGCATCATGAAAACCTCCTACAACGTAAATTGGTCAAATACGCATCCAAAAACGAGGGTTCGGTCGATGTCCTGTAGGTTCCCTGGTTTCTTAGATAGCGGTGTCTTCTTTTACAGGACCCCCCCCAACAAAAAAGGTAGTTTCTTTTTATCAAAACAAGAAAAGAAACAAAAACAAACAAACAAACAAACAAACAAACAAACAAACAAACAAACAAACAAACAAACAAACAAACAAACAAACAAAGCACATGGTGTTCCGCAATGGGTTTCCCTTTTGAAACAACCAAAAACCCGGGGCGCCCATCCAAATCGTCGCAACGGGCTGGAGCGGCTGGAGCGGCTGGAGCGAGCGAGCCCGCGGCTTGAGCCAATCCGAGGCGCTCGTTGATGGTCTTGCCCGAGGCCACCGCTGCCTTCTGAGCTGCCAGGCCTGCCACTCGCGCCTCAGCGCAAGACTTGTCTTGGTGGCTGCAACGACCCCCCTGCAAAAAGTGCTTCACTTCTTTGGGGGTTTAGTGGAAACCACAAAACGTATATGACAACCAACATGTTGAAGCCTAAAGATCCAACCCAGTAGCAGTTAAGTTGTAAGGCGGTAACATCTTATAGAAGCCTGAACGAATGCAGGGTTCCGAATACTGCCCTTTGGTTTCTATGGTTCTGGTGAACGACTGCAAACATGGAAGATTTACAGTTAACCCAACTCGTTCCATGAGTAGTCCGCAAATACTATGGTTGTTGGATGCTTGTAGGACGAGCTGGGGCTCCCCACTTCGAACGCTAATTTGCTTTTCCAATCCAAAAAGCACGAGGCTTACTACTCCAAAACCCACAAATCAACCCCCAAACTCACGCCTCAAACAAAGGGAAGCCTACGCAAACCACCAAGCTCTCACCCTCAGCCTGCAAAAGGCATATCCCCGGACTCCATCGCCGTTCCCCCCCCCATTTCCCCCCCACCCCAAACCCCGCATACTCGGCTCGGCTCGGCGCGCGAATTCAGCCATTTCCCCCCCAACCAAACGCCTCGGCTAGCCTACCCAAACCTCTAAACTCTCACCCCCAGCCTACCAAAAACACAACCCCCGGACTCCATCCCCGTGCCTGCAACCTCGGCTCGGCCCATTTCGCGCCTTCAGAAAATTCAGCCATTTCCCCCCCAACATCCCCACCCAAACGGCTCGGCCCCACTCAGCCCGGCCCAAACTCGGCTCGAACTCGAGGCGTCGAGGCGCCGCGTGCTCGGCCGCCTTGGAGTCCGACATCCCGGCGTCCTTCGCGGCCTTGAAGGCGGAGCCCCCGGCCTCCTTGGCCGCCTTCGCCTCCGTGGCGTTCAGCGTGGTGGTGGTTCCTCGGGATCGGATCGCGTCGCGAGAGGGGCTGACTGACAGACGAAGACGTGCGTCTCCCAGCGAAACGGGGCGCCTAAGGCTCACCTCTCCAATGCCGGGCCCTCCAATGAAAAAAGCCCAGACCCATGACTCAGGGGCCCTTGAAATCAGCCCAGGGCCCAAAATCATTGGGAGCCTTAGGGCTGGCAGAAAAATGCATGGGGCGCGTGGTTTGGTTTTTTGGGTTTCTGGTGGCGAAACACAACAACTCACCCGAGAAATGCCCAAAGCTTTGCGGCCGAAAGACTCATAAAGAATCCTGGGATCCTTGTATCAAAATAGGGATATGGAGCCTAACATGGCGGTGTTCCTTGTGGTCTCTCTGCAAAACCAGGTGGATAGGTTACCCTCAAACAACACACACACACATTTTGCTCGCCTGGATTCTTCGGGGAATCTAAGCAACATGGACAGATCAGTTCAAGTTGGTTTAAAGGGCAACCAACATGACAACCACCTTGTTTGGGGAGGGGTTTCACAATTTCAGACATACAGCTGAATCATCACAGTAGATCAGCTACATGTGGCGCTTTTTTGGCCGGTATCATTTGACACAACAATGAGAAGCTTTCCGACGTGGGAAAGTCAGTCTTTCGGCGGGCTTTGGATCAACCCCCACATACCCATTCGGTGGATTCCTGTTCATTTCCCTTTAAAATCACCACCAACAAAAAGGTACCCTGAAAAACACTCACACTCACACTGCAACAAGCCTCAGACCGCACTTGGGAGTTTCTTTGGGGTTCTCTGGCCCCTTTGACACAGACCTGTTTGGGGGTGCCTGGTTTTTGGGTACCCCCCCAACATGGCTGCGGGTTCAAACCAACCTGAAAAAATGGCACTCTAAATAAAAGACACACCCAGTTGAGTCATACTCAAAGCAAGA